GGTATGTCACGAAACAATGACATTGGTGACGAGCGTTGAGCATTCTATGTTTACGGTGGAAAATTAAATTATTCATTTTATCAAGTTAATTATGAAAAATAAAATATTTTCACGAAAAACGTAAATAAGGCTTTCATTTAAAAAATGCCTTTTTAGTATGTAAAATGTATCATACAATACTACACAGATATGATTTCTAAAACAGTCAACACTATTAATGATTTCTAAAATTTACGTTAGTCCCCATCTCACACCGAAAAATAAACCCACGTTCAGGGCAAAGTCATAAATGTTCATACGGTTGTGTCAGAATAAGAATTTATAATAAAACGTTATTTAAAAGTACAGTTACTGAAAACACTGTGTCAGCAACATTTGTATCGTCGTTTGTACGTGTAAATGTAACTGAGTTTTGTGTTTTGTTAACAAAATTGAAGAAAATAAAATACAATGTAATATAGACTTTGTTCTAGAATTCAATGACTGATCGGAAATATATTCAAGGCATGTATATATATACTATATATATATATTATATATTATCATAATTATATATATATATATGATATATGCTCTGATTGCCTCGACCATTGCGATTTATACTAAAAATTTGAGATTTTCCCCTACATTATATTTGTACAGAACGTAGAAAGACATTTCTTCCGTCTTGTAGTTCAAACATTAACAGAAATACCAAAAACTTTAAAACGAAATAGTAGAAAAAACGAAGAGTTCTAGACAAGATGTACTCTGAATTTCAGAATAAATGGATTTACGGGGGAGGGACGGAATTTAACCGTATGCATGTACACTGGCATTCAAAAAGGAAAAACACGAGTGTATATATTATTTACTACATTAGTCATACAATTTTATATTTGATCAATACGTGTTTATGACATTATTGAAATATTATCATTTGTATGTAGGGTACAAAAATATATGTTGCCAAAATTCCAAGGAAAATTTAATTTAAAATTTGACACTACATATTCAAAAATATTTCTAAATCCAAATTTATTTTCTTCTTCAGAATCAATCAAGTGGTGACATACTCAAAATTAATAGCATGAGGAAGAACGAGTTCTACCTTTTTTTTTAAATATAGAGAAGTTGTTATTGCCTATTGTTGCAAACCTTTTTAAGGAAGGATTCTCCATTAAACCTTTTAAACCACACTAATCGATAAACAGAACCTAACAGTTTTGTCTTTAGTTAAATGCACAATTAACACACTTTTCAGGCAATTCAATTAACTATAGGCATGAGGGCTCGCAAATAATTGCAGTATTTTGTCTGTTGCATGATCTTGAGAAAGTGAGTTGTCGCAAGGAACCGGTAAATGACAATTTCCTCTGTGGACAAGTAGTGTGGCGTTCTACACGCAGATGGCAGCAGCAGGGCCGAAATGAACGCCCACATTATCCCACGCAAGCACTCACGTCTGAATCCGTATGCAACTCTATTTTGACCTTACCGAAAGAAATAAGTAAAGTCGTAGAGCTCCTGACTAGGAAACAAGACAATAATATTAATTGCTATTAATGTGTTTTTAAACTTCTTATGCGTACAAAATAATTCAGAAATATACATTTTCGTATCCATTATTATAAGAAGGATGCTAAGATAAATCCATATGTATTTATTATTATTATTATTATTATTATTATTATTATTATTATTATTACTGTTCCGCAGTTATACGTAAAGAATCTCTATTTGTTATCAGTCACGAATGATAAATAATATTTACGTACTCGCGTTGTCATATTCTGTACATATCACGTACATACAGTAGGTAAAACCAATGTGACCATTTCATGTAAAACGTGTCCTAAAGTTTTCATCAACGATATCAAATACTGTGGACATTTTGAACGATATCTAATATGTGCAGATACGTTTGAAATAATTGTGTAGTTGTTAGCTATAAACTAAACAAGTGCATTATAAGTAATTAACTGCATCATAAGTTCCTGCTTGTAAAAAAAAATTCACAATGAATTTTTGCACTTTTGTCGTTACACAATTTTGTGAAGAAATTTTCTTGAATGTAGAAAAGTTTTAACCAATCAAATTATAACTTGAATAACAAATTCACTCATCGTGCATTTACATCGGCACCTTTCAAATTATTCAGACACAACAGTTTGGATGTAGAATGTTTTCTTATGTGAACTGAAGTAATTGAAACAAAATTTCAAAAATTTAAAAATATTTTTTCTTCTACTTAAAGTTGAAAAATATAGATTGTTGTCTTGTTAATCTTAGTTAATGACTAACAAAAATATCAGACATGTCAATCGTAATTGCAAGGTATAGAAAAGAATTGTTTGTCATTCTTAAATGGGAAACTAAAATTAAAAAAACGAACGTGTGAGGGGGGAAAATTGTAAAAGTTTTAAATATTGTCGTGATTTCAGTTTTACCATTAAATTCACGCACATTTCAATATAGTTTCTCTTGCGTAAATTCTGAAAAAAGGAACTGTTATTTAGAAAATTTAGTAATAATGTTAATTGGAACTCAGCGTCATTTCCGAATATAAAAATTGGAGGAATATGAGCGGAAAATACCTATGGACGAAACATATTTTGCAATGTCCTAGAAAGGTGTGCATATTTTATATGTAATATTTTCATGTTATAAATATAGCCAATTCAATTGGCAAATGCATTTTACAGTCTAGTTTCATTATTAACAATCCGCTTAGCTTTTATGAAACGCCATGCGCAAGGGCATCAGAATCGCCGCTAAAACGTGCAGAAAAACGTTTTAATATTGTTTTCAAAAACGGAGATAACAGCAGGTAAAAATATATCGAAAGCATAAATATAACGTGTCAGTATTACTGATCCTTCATTTTCGTAAGAAAAGTTGAACTTCTTTTCGAACTATACAAATTGATTTAATTACAAGTTTGATATTACCTTCAACGCCAATGACATATTTACATAGAGCTTCGGTTTACAAGCAAAACGGTAGCTAACAAGCTAGTGAGATTTCCACAGACTAGAAAATCGAAATACGTTTTCCTCATTACTAGTTGTAAAAATAGCTATTCTTTATAAATTATTCAAACGTAACCTACGTTAGAAAGAATATATTTTACTTAATCTTTTCTTATAATATGTAGCTAGAAATAAGAAACAACATATCTATTATTAACTAGAAGTTATTTATATATTATTTTTCTCTTGAATTACAAAATCAGTTAATTGACTTCGGCATCTATTACTGGGAGTTTTCCTGTTGTGACTGTCTTGTTTGCCAGCATTAATTTTTCGTGTTTGTCATAAATAATGAGGCAACACTACATCGAACAAGGTTCAATTGGGAATAGAACACTTTTTAGACAATTCGTTGGAAAATGAATAAGTTTTACCACACTGTAATGGCTAATACAGGTCATCGTAATGCACTCATGTTTCGAGATTAATAACAGCAAACTAGGTTCGTATCAACTATTTTATATTCATAGTGACATAAAAGTTTTATGTGAATTTTGCCCAAAATTGCGTAATTGAGATTAATCATCGGTCAATTACAAATCTTCCAAAAGTTAATAAATTTTTACAGTTGTCAGTTAAGAGTTCTAGTCGCGAAAAGGGTTTGTAGATCGCCTGAATTAAGAAAATCTGCTAAATATTCGTTTTTCGTTTTGCCGCCAACGTCTATTATCTTATTTCAATAATAAAATACAGTAAATCACTGAATTACAATTACCAAGTACGCGCCAAGATATCAAAAGTTCTCATGATACGACTACGTCGTTTAAAACTATAGTAAGTGCTGCAATAACTGTTTGTTAACTGCCAAATATCGCCGTAGCCGAATAAACTGTTCTAAAGCATAAATAATAATAATAATAATAATAATAATAATAATAATAATAATAATAATAATAATAATAATTACAAGTTCAAATTGAACTAGTGATGAACACACGATCCTTGTGTATAAATATTAAAGAACGCAAAAAACGCGTGATCACCTGGACTCGAACATTATGGAATGTCAACGTAGTGTTTTTGTACTATTGTGCCTTATGATAACTTTGAGAAAGTTTACTTACTAGAAATATTTCAATATATGTACAGCATCTCTATTAAGAACACGGAATAAAAAAGTAATCATTTATTATCTTGAGAACCATTAAAATCCAACAATGCCCTCGAAGGGTGTCGCGAACGAAGAAAAACATTGATTTGAGAGTAGCGTTGAAGAAACACTGAGAACTTTGGCAGTAAAATGTATACATTTAACGTAAATGAGTTATGGCAGAAATAATTTGTATTTCAATAAAGGCGCTCAAAAGGGCAAAACAAACATATTTTAAATATAACTATGTAAATGTAGCATGGAATTTAGAAATGCTCCAAATAATGAAATATATTGCTTTCTCAAGAAAGCGGAATATTGAAATACCCTTTCAGTATCAGGAGATACACAACACGCAGTTAACCGTTTTCGAGAAAACCAAAACAATAAAAAACAATAAAAACTAGTGCTATTTCATCTATTTGACAGATAAAGCATTATTACGGTTTCAAAATACAAATCCTTTTCACTATTTCATAAACGTGTGTCAAGTAAAAAATATATCAAAATCTGCACTAGTGTCTAACAACACTAACATTTCACTTGTATCACCTGGCGCACACATCACACTAAGACACTGTTCATGTCACTCGTCACACCTGCACGTTACGATGCACTGAAATCTTGTCGAAGAAGTGAGCTCATCTCACAGAACATTTACCTGGTTCAGTAGCGAATTACACCATAGAGAAGTTCACTGCTTAGAGACGTCGTGTCGGTAACGAAGAGCCGCGTGTCGAAGCCATGGTCCGCTCCGCTGTGCAGCGAACGTGTCTAAACTACCAGGGGACTCAAGTTCATCGCTTCCTCTTCCCCAGCGCCCCCCTAAAGCGCTCTCTTAATGAATTGTTACGCCTTTCCCCATCACGCGGCAGACCAATGCAGGCCCAGCAGCGCACCCACGCATCCGACGGGCCAAGATCAGGGAAGCGGCTGCCCCCCGGTCCGGCACACGCATGCCACAAATCTCGGAGGAGGAGGAGGTGGAGGAGGGCGGACGGGCGGTGACGGCGGCGACTGTGGCGGCGGCGGCGGCGGCGACGCGACAGGCGTCATTGTTGCGCGCGCGGAGCGAAGGCTCGGGTCGCCCCGTGGCCCGCCGGCCGCCCTCGCCCGCCTCCGGCACTCTCCGGCCGCCGACCCCCGCCACCCCTACCGACTGGGCCTCTTGTCGCAGCCCCCACTATCTCATGACTTAGGGGGGAATTACGAGACACGGAATATCGAAAGAAGATTTGCAACTGAGAAAAGATAAGCCAGTGTTTCTCAGGAACGATATGTCAAACTTTATCGTATTCAGATTTTTATACATTGTATATAAACGGTATATAAAATAAGATTTATATAAATCAGTTGGAATGAAATAAGAACTTCCTCCCAGCGGCACAATATTTTACATGTTCAGTGAATGAAAATTCAATAGTAATTATCTAATTGCAAAGGATTTATACTGAAAATATTGTGTTACCTCTTTCGTTAAGTATTTGTTATGAAATCGGCTCCAGAAATTTTAAAAACGAAGGCGAAAATGATGTTACTTGCTCTACTGTGAATATAATGTGACTAAGAAATGTATCGTAGTTATGTCATGTATATGTCACGCTAATAGTATCCTATGACTAGCGACAATAATAATTTGAAAGACATATCTTTTTCTACTACGACTTTACTTTTAATTTATCTTGGAAATTGTTAATGAAATTTTAAAGACTTCCTTTTGATATTTGGGTAAAAAAAATATTGTTCAAGAAATGTTATAGAATGAAACATGCATTTTATTAGCAAGTATTTAATATTTACTATCATATTTTACGAAAATATAAAGATAATACAGAACTATGCTATTTTAATTATGTGTTTATCTTGTATTTATTATTATTAATATCATAATATTAACTACAAAGATCAATAGTCTCCATAACACATGTTTCTATATCAAATAATTCCACTCGATGATGAATCTTTTATTTCAAACAAACTTTCTTGAGGACGAATATTTTTAATTACAATACGTATTTTATTTACAATTTTACGATGGATACACCCACTTCATTTTATTGTTCCTTTACCTCCTCTGCAGGACCACACGCAGTTCTACTATGACTTGAGATTTTCTTTTTCTCCTCCGAAAACCTCCTCATCCTCTCTCTTCTACTCTCTAGCCCTTTTGAGATTATCACTATTCTATTCTCTTTTTATCTCTAGTGCTTCTCAATCAGTCAGTACATATTTCCCTACCGTTGATTGCTGCCATCTTGATGGACAATTATTTCCAAACTACTCCTTTTCTTCAATCTTGCCTCCCAACACTGTTCAGCCCAGTCCTTCCTGAGTTCAAAAATCCACTTGCCGTCATTCCTTTCGTGTCGACCTTTGTTTCCAACGCTTCAGACATGATTGTCCTGATCGAATTTTCGGAAAATCTTGCCCCTCTAGATACGATTTTCTCGGAGATCGTAAGCAACGTATCGGAAATTGTAATACATACGATCAAGCTAACAGTATGAATGAGAATTGTAGCGACCGGATGCTCTGATCAGTAGTTTTCGTGTTTTTTCGTCATCATGACCATCAGTATCAGGCGAAACAATACCCTAATAAACGAACAATGGACCGTGAACGATGTTGCAATCGTCATTCTTGTTCCCTCCGCTTCTCTTACACACACCACACAACCGCACATGCCTGGACACCAGTTGGGAGATAGCTTGTTGGATCGGTGCCCCGCCGGAGTGTACTTCGGCGTAAGATCTTACGTTCCAACGTGGAAGAACACTGCTACCTCCCTCAATAACAACAGGCACTAATGACCATAGTGTGACTCGCTCGGAAACTCGATAATCAACAATCAATCGTTCTAAGAAGCCGGTAACGATATAATGTTTTTGCAGAGTAAGGTGACGTAAGAACTTAATGGTGAAGTTACAAAAATATAATTCAAAATCGCATGAAAATGTTGAAATAGAAAAGAAAAAGAGGGTAAATTAATAAGTATGGTAATTGTTTTTTTTAGTAAACCAAAAAAAATTTACAACATAATCTCTCAGTAGCTTAATACATTTGTGCCAGTGATATTCCATTTTTTTATTTCCTCTAAAAAAATATTTTGTCGAATTCTGCGAAGCGCTCATATACAACACAAATTTCTCTCCGATTGACTTTTTTTCTCGAGCCAAATTTCGAGATTCGGGAATAAGGAAAAGTGAGATGGTGGTAAATCTGGGGAATAGGGTGATTGGGAATAATTTCGAAGTCCAGCTCGTGTACTTTTGCCATCTCAACAACTGACGTGTAAGCAGATGCAGTCCTGGAAGAGGAGCACATTTTTGCGAGCCATTCTTGAACGCTTCTGCGTCAACGCACAATGGGAGCGGTCCCATAATGATGCAAAATAAGTGCCCATCACAATTATCCCATTCTGTAAATAGTCAATCATGATGATTCCCTATGAGTCCCAAAAACCGGTTGCCACTACTTTCCCAGCTAGCAAAACTATTTCTGATTTCTTTGGAGCTTTTTCACTATCGCAAACCCACTATTTTGACTGCCGTTTTGTCTCGAGCGTGTATTGGTGAATCCACGTTTCGTCTACAATCACAAAATGATGTCACAAATCCTTTGGATTGCGCTACAACTGCTCCAAACAGACTCTTGAAATGTCCCTTCTTGTGTGTTTTTGGTCCGGAGTCATCAGTCACGGCTCCCCATCGCGCACTCAGCTTCTTTTGCAGAATTTTATACAGGATATTTCATACCCGTTCATATGAAATGTTTACAATCTCAGAAATCTCAAGCAATGTCACCCGACGGTCTGCCATTACGATATCGGGGAATCTATCCACCAATTCTTGGTAACTAACCTCAATCGGGCGCCCCAGGTTCTACATTTTGAGTACTCGTACGGTCACGTTGAAATTCATTAATCCAGTAATAAATAGTTTTCAGTACTGGTGCAGAGTCCCCATGAACTTCTTTCAGCTCAGATTGTATCTGGATCACAGTCCACTTCTTTAAATAGAAATGTTTTAACACCGCACGAAACTCTCCTTTCTCCATTTTCAACTATCACCACAATCAAGATGGCCGACAACAAACAGCTGCGTATTGCATTTGTTTGTAGATTTTAACAGAGCTGTTTCAAGAATCACTCTTAGCAACAATGACGCCAGATAATACAATTTCCCACGTTCCATTGTCTTTATTATCTGGCGATACCAAACAATTAACAATTTCATTCATGATATAAAATAATATTGGTCTGTTTATATCACGCAGGATTACCGATTTCTGTTGTTCAAAATAAAGCAATGGAAAACATTTAAAATAGCAGCAGTGATACGATTCGGATTTTAGAAGAAATCATTGAAAATGTTTTTTAAGTAATCGGGATATTTGTACGAAAATTAACATGTCCATAGCAATTAATATTTAAAATATCATTAATAGTATTTTTTACGTATATTTGTATTATGTATTTTTTAAATATATATATTTGTATTAAGTATTTTTATAAATATTTGTTTTATATGTAAGTTTTGTTGTTTACGTTTGCTTTCTTTAAATAATATTTACTAAGCAAACAATGATAAAAAAATTCAGACTGCTGCATTGTAGTGGAAGTAGTAAGTTCTTCCGATGACTTCTCAAAATAGAATAGCAGACGGCTTTCAAGTACAAAAACCTGAAGTAAGAAATGAAAATTTGATTGTGGTAACGTCCACGAAGAGCGCTAGAATCTGCCTATCTCCGCGCGCGGATTACAACTTGACGGGCAGAACAGACAAGTTCATTTGACTAACCTCACCAGAAAAATATAATACCAGATAGGCCCGTGCAAACACTCCGTGCTTTGTGAATCAACATTTTAAAAGTAAAAAAAGTTACTTTTTTAATCGAAACATTAGACCAGAACCTGAACTGTACATGGGAACATTGTAGACCGTCATGACAGACCTATTAACACGTTAATTTAACTTTTTTCGTTTCTGACCACTCTGCTACGAGAAATCAGAATTAAACCTTCATTCAATTACTCGCTCCATCCGTATGCTTCCTAACATATTTCCCGATATTTTTCCCAAACATTCCATCACATGTTCCCCTAAATGCCGCACACACGTTCTTTCAAAAATACTCTAAATGTTCAAGAAGTTCTGAATAGTTAGAGTACCCAGAAGAGCGAACACTCATAAAAGTGGCATAAAATGCCCCCAAAAAATTGTCGCAAAATATTGCATCCTCAAAAGAAAACTTTTTAAATCACTATTTTAAAAGTGAAGCTTTACGATGGAAACCAACGTTCAGCGTTACTGGGAACAATGGCTAGGGAGTGACCGAACAATAAAAAATGTAAAAGGGCATTCAAAAATGTAATTTTTGTAGATTAGGTATACAAAAATATTAAGGGACCCCAAAAACTCAAGATGCATCGTTTCCGCGTTATGCCCGATGATAAAGTGTGTTACACTTACACTAAAATGCACTACACTACCCCACATGCTAGGAGACCGGTCGGGAGCTTAGAGCTTGTCCCAGCTAGGGCAGTGCCCCGCTGGTGGAAGGTACCAGGTTGTGGAAGACTTCACTAGCCGACGCTACGTCGGCACCGGAGCTTGCCATCCAGCAGGGGAAGATCACCACCACAAAATATGCACAAAAATATGCACTACTCCTACGGGACTAATGACCTTTGCACATGACGCGACCGTAATCACTAATCAATTAATCAAATTTGAGCAGTGTGCGTGCTATTTTTGGATAATCATTTTGTATAGTTTAGTTCAGCAACATTTTTGATGATGCAGGCCACTACTTTTCATCAAAGAGTAACCGCATTGTTGTTATTACTATTATTATTAATTATTATTATTATTATTATTAATATTATTATTTTCCTCTACATCACGACTAAGATATTATGAGTCGGCTGAATATAAAATCTACTCCAGGTTGCAACCAGCTACATAAGGAGCAGATCTAGCGACTGTCGCTGCCTCTACAACACTTCGCGCAAAATGTGGGCTGTTCCAAAAAAAGCAATTTCTTGCACTTCCCAGTCTTTTGAATGACCTGAAAGTTTAGCCAAGTTCTTACACAAAGTTTGCGGAACCAATCCTAGAGCTCTGATCGGAACGACCAGTGCTTTTACGCCCCACATTCGGCTGATCTCGATTTCCAAACACTTGTATTTATGACGTTTCTCTGCTTCCTTGGTTACGATCACAAGGCACAGCAACATCTACAAGTAGACACGATTTTTTTCGAAAATGTTGATAACAATATCTGGTTTGTTTGCTGCTATCGTGCGATCCGTTTGAATATGTTGGTCGTACAATATTGTATAGTCTAACAGATGTCACCGGTTTTGGTGTTTGTACCACTTGGGTACATGTGTTTGGAACTTTGAGGGCGGTACAGATCTGCCAGAGGTAACTACATAGCCTGTGGTGTCTTTTTAAGAATTCGGTCTTTGCTAGAATTGGACAAGCTAAATCGATATGATCAATGGTTTCTACTTGTTCCTGGCAGATGCGGCATTTATCATCTTGGGAAATTTTGAGAACTGCTTTATCATTTATTATTATTATTAAATATTATTATCATTATTATTATTATTATTATTATTATTATTACTATTATTATCCCTTTTCCCCATTTCGGTCACTGGCATCGTGCCCGTGGATATTTGCCGGTTATAAGGGTCGGACGGGACGGGACAGAATGTTAAATATTATGAATTATTAAATCAAATAAATTCAATTAATTGTAAATAGAGGTTTGTGGAATTTTAAATAAAAGACTGATACTTGCATACTTAGAAGCATTTTATCCGTTTGATGGTCGGTGTGCAATTACACAAAAAGTATAGGAACGCAAACGGCGGAAGAAAATGAAAAGAATTGTTTGCCTTAACATCACCGCAAAGCTTTTAATTAAATAATATTGCGGAATATGATTAGCCAATGTTTCAAAAAATAAACTAATTCATGTAAAAAATTATAAAAGCTGAATATCGTATGCATGCTATTTGGTTTTGGGCACTTTCTAAATAATTCTTTGACTTCCCTCTCATTTGTCTACCGTATGTTACATTTACTTCTTACAAATCAGAGTACAAAATATAAATACGAACATACGAACTTTTATTGCCAGTCATTGTTGGAAAATTAATTCTAAATTTTTAAATTAAAATATAGTTTAGAGTAGTATTTTTATTTGTACTAAAACGAGTTTATTGTAAGGTTTAGGGAAGAAGTAGATATAAGAAAGATTAGTGGCTGGAAAGCTCGATGCGAGATTCACAATAAATGTCACTAACTATGGGAAAAATCTGTGGTATGGCATAACGGGGTTGCACTTTTGACTAACAAGTAATTCGCGCAAATGGGCATTGATTGTCGTGCATTGCATTCACTTAAGTTACACTTATAATTTTGATGAAAATGTAGTGTACTTGGAATTATGAGATGTTTATCATCTTTTGTCAATGAGTTCAATATTTAAAATACTCAGTTTAATTACAGAAACGGAACAACAAAAAGCCCATTAATCGTAAAAGACAAAAAGTCACACTTCTGTGTGTACTCCTGTCGTGTGAAAGAACGATGTCAGAGTTTGCAATGGATCCGTACATCACCACGCAAGAAGTGTATAAGTGAGCAAGGAGCTTTGTTCAGTTAATTACTTACCTATACGAAAGGGCTGTGTGTTTGACACAGGCTGAAGGGCACAAACGCTAGCAGCTTTTGTTCGCGAGCGCTGGGTCGCGAGAGCGCAGACAGGTATTGTTTTGCGCAGTCATCACGCATAAAGCTGCGTTGCAGAGCTCCCCTCTGGGCTCCAGGGTACATTTGTCCCTCTGAAGAGACGCAATGGAATTGTACTCCTTTCGCCGAGGCAAACTGACCGAAATAATTGAAAAGACGCCGCGTATTACTTCGCGAGATCAAGTCGCAGTGTCGAGTCAGGCGAACAATGGTGTCAACGCGCCGGAGGAGGGGGGACGCAGAGCCCGTCCTCGCCCGCTCCATCCACCCCAGCCTCCCGCCTTGGCCCGCGACGCAGGGCCAACGCTCCTGATGCTCTGAGACTTAATGAAACGAGAATCTGATGCCTCAGGTTTACCTCACGACAAGGTTATCCAAGCCTTCCGGGGTGTATGAACGAATATACATACGGAGCCGTAAAGGAGTAAAGGTATGTTCAAGTATGGAACTGATTCACTCATATTCAGATATACTTTGCAAAAATTATTTTACAAAATAATTAAAATTTGAATCGCAATGCATTTTCTCGTTTCTGCCTTTCATATCGCAGTGACAACGTAATTTACAGGTACCTCTTTGAAATTTGATTTATACCGGTCCTCATATACTTCATTTCCGCCTGATATGTTGATTAATCTTCTAAATAATGTCTATGTTAATTGAATTTAATGTTGATGTATGTACCTTTTTTCACCGCCAGGTAAACATGTTTCTGAGGATTAATTCTCATTTGAAATCATTATGCTCAAGGTATAGTGGTCACAATTCTTTTTAACATTAGTGTATCACCGATTTCTGTAAAAACAGGAGTGTTCAGAAACCAAACGTGTAGCAATTTATTTATTAAACGTCATGAAAAACATTTAAAAATTAGATATTATATTCTGAAATGTATGTATCACTATCACAAAGTATCACTTATGTGTCAATGTAGGTATCATTGTATTACTGTTTTAATGTATATATGAATCAATGTATTACTGTATGTATCATGTATCACTGTGTGCTTTGAAGATTGATTCAGACTCCACGTACTTTAGAGCAACAGTGGCTAAATAAAGTGTAATGAGTACCAATATATCTACACAAAGGACTTGCTTGCTGTGACTACTGGTAAAGTCGGATCTGTTTTATTAAAAGAAATATGAAAATGAGATCAATATGAAGTGAATTATGTCTTACCCGACGATAGTTGATTGAAAATGATTCATGTTCTACTTTTTCATTCATTTCTCGCAAGTATAATGCATATTATTGGAAAACAATGATCAAATCGTACACCTTTTGCGACCATTAGCGTTCATTCCTAGTAGCTTGTTGTAAATTATATCGTGTAGTCCGTCTTATCAGCAAACTCCGAGATACATGTATTCCTCCATTTCTAGTTTCAATTTGGAGCGAAAACAACAATGTTCTCATGGCAAGCAGATTGCGCGCTTCCTGTCCTCCCTCGGCCAGGATGTGCTTAATTGTGAGTTCATCCTATCCAAGTGGTCGCCCGGCCACCCCCGCTCGTGGCTGCCGCGCTGCTGTCTGAGGCGGCCTGAAAGCAAGGCGGGGCATTGCGTACGCTGCGTAGACCAGCCCCCGCGCCCGGCCCCGCGCACTCAGCTTTCCCCCGGGGCGCCGCGCCGCGCGGCCTCGCGTTCCCCGGCTCGAGAAGGAACTTGGTTTACTCATTGAGCTCATCCAGACCCCAAGTGCTTGCTCCAGCCAGGCCGGAACTCACAATTGTTGCGTACCGGAATATGGAGTAAGCTAGCTAATGACATTTAATAATCATGAGATGTTACTTTGGCAGTCACCAGGCAGTAACCAGGCCCTGCGTCTCTTTCGTTTCACACGCCTGCGCCCACGCCGCGCTGTCTGCGCACGCCCACTTGAAGGCCCGCTATAGACACTTCCGCTGGGGCGTTTTCGTTAAGGGATTGCGAAACGCTAATGGAAGTGAGTTGTCCTTCCACACATCGAAAAGTCTCAAGACCAGGAATCGTTATTTACATAACGCGTGAGAATTATCACGGAAGCAACATTTTGAACAAATTCAAATGTAAACACTTCAGTCTAAAATCGTCCACTTTGCAGTAAGCAACGAAATTAAATAAAAGTAATATTAAATTTGCAATTGATTCAAATACATTAGTATAAGGTTACATCTATCACTAAGAAAAATCTGTAAAAACCTTTTGAAATCGCATGGCATGTGACATTGCATACTAGTGGCCTGTAGCTAACACAGCTGTTTAACTATTGAAAGACATTTGAAAAATCCTAATAAAACAATAAGGTTGAAGAAATTTGAAACTAAGAACAAATGAGTCTTCTAAAATTCCCCTGTATGTAATGTCACAACAATCAAAGTTCCAAATCGTTGCATAATGGGAATATAAACAATATTTTGCCATAATGTCGTATTGAAGTTATTGTCAATTTCCCTATTTAAGTAACCCATCAGAAACTCTCTGTCTTAGACACAGTTTATTGTGTTTTGTATCAAGTGAAAAAATTGTGTATTTTTTTTATTATAAAAAGGGAATTGAATTCTCTATCTTGTTATTTTAATTATAGAATTCAAGGATATGAACTTCAATTCAGATAACACATATCTGAAATCTCCCCGTAAGTATTACACTTCCACCGATTAAAATGCTGCTTAATTCTGGATCTTTTATTTGTTTCTCAGTAAGAGATACCTGCAGTAAACTTCCGCAGTTCTGATATTTGACTCTTCATCAATGAGAATAACATATCATTCACATCAATCCATTATTCTTTCAGAGTATTAAGGTGATGTAAGCAAGAGACTGTCAAAGAAAGCAAGACGTTGATGCAAAGGCATTATCACATCGTCCTTGGACTTCTAAGAAAATTCTTTTACCTTTCTAACTGCTTTACCATTCTTTGGTCTTTTCTTTGATTTATTTTTGATTGCCTGTGAATTCGCGGCGAATCGAAATAGAGAAAAACGTTTCAAACAATGATTCATTTTTATTTTACTTTATTTTCTTCCCGTTCGACTTTTGTCTTTCGGTGATTTTGACGGGTACAATGTTACATACAATGATTTTACTCGGCTATCCTCAGGCAAATGCGGGTCTCGGAATAACCGTTTATCTTATCTTTATTAAGAGAAGTTTGCTCTTATAAATCTTTACTATGAGAAGTTTGCATTTGTGGTTTAGAGGAGGAGGAGAGTGTATGTGGGAAAAGGGGGCAAATAATTTTACGAATTAGGGTGGACGAAAGAGATCTTTGGGGAATCTGGATCTAATGCGTAATGGACAATGTGCGTTTTGGCCGAGATTGAATATTGGAGTGTTGGGGCATGCTGGGAGGAGAGAGTAATATTTCTGAGAGAGTTGTTAGAAGAATGAATGAGGAGAGGTACGTGAAGTTCGCGGTGGATTTGTGAATTAGAAATGAACCAGGGGCGTTTCAAGGTTTGTCTTAGATATTTGTTTTGGATTGTCTGTAAAATGAATAGATTGGTTGGTGCTATGTTGCGCCATATTGGACAAGCGCATATCACTGTGGGTCTTAGTATCATTTTATAGATGAGTAGCCCAGTTTCTATACTGAAGATGGAATTTCTGTTGATAAACGGGTATAGCTGTAGAACTTTGTCACGTGTGTTATAGGCTGTTAAATGAATGTGTGGTTTCTACGTTAGCCGCTTGTTCAGTTGGATACCTAGTTATTTGGCTGGCGAAGAATGAGAAAGCCTGGGGACATCGGTGTTGTGTCGATTTATTCGCAGGGGTGTAGGGAAGGGAAGACGTCTGAGAGTGAATATTTTGGATTGTGATTTTAAGGGGTAAATTTTAATTCTCCATTTTTTGTTCCAGTTCTTATAACTGTTAATGTAGGAATGCATGTAATCATAGGCTAAGCTTATATCTGTATGTGAAGTGAAAATAGCGGTATCGTCAGCATAAAGACCTATACTTGCTTCATATGGAGATGGATAGTCTGCTGTAAATATTGAGAAGAGTGTTGGTGAAAGAACCGACCCTTGTGGGACGCCTTCTAAAATTGGGTAAAGCGGTGATATTACATTATTTACCATCACTTGAAAATACCTGTCTGAGAGAAAGCTTCGAATTAGTTTCTGCAGATAATCAGGTGCTCCAATGTCTTGTAGTTTGTACAACAATTCATAGTGCAAAGTTCGGGCGAATGCCTGTGAGACGTCTAAAAAAAGAGCTATGGTGTGCTTTTTATAGTTAAAACTGTGTAGTATGTGCTGGGAAAGTCGCAGCAGTTGATGGGTAGTTGCATGTTTAGGTCTACAACCGAATTGGGTGTTGGGAATTGCATTAATTTTTGTGAAGTATATTTGCAGTATATTTAAAATAAGTTTTTCAAAAGTTTTTGCTATAAAAGGGAGAAGGCTAATAGTAATGGCTTGGAGTTTTTGGTTTTTTGTCTGGTTTGCAGAATGGAAGTATAACAGACCGGTTCCATGATATCGAATAGTATCCTATTCTTAAAGATGCATTAAATATCGCTGTTATTATTGCTATTGCTTGTCGAGGAAGTTCTTTTAATTCTTTGTTAGTGACGTTGTCGTACCCGGGTGTTTTTCTAGTCTTTGAAAGTTTGATGATATTCGCCACTTCTGAAGGAGAAATTAATTTTATCTTTGTTGGGACAGTGTCCATAGGTAGTTTCATGAACTTTTCAACTTCTGAATTCAAAGCTGGATATTCTATGGGATTTCAGATGAAGACACTTTCTAGATATTCTGCTAAGGCGTTCGCTTTTCAACGTCTGAGTATACTATTGTGACGTCATGGATACTCACAGCGACCACAGACACAGAGCTTTCGTATAACAATATATTTATTAACAAAGAAAACAAAACAAATATATACACTTAATAATTTACTTACACCCTAGCTCTGATAGACCTACTATCCCCTGATCGCGGGAGCGATCCAAAACCCGATTGAAGATGGTTTTGATTGTGGCATTCGCCACTCCTACTTTTGAAGCGCGCACAAAGCCTAGCTTCCGTGACCGGATGTCACGCTGGGACACAAAGTCCGTTCTGGCGCACCAACGGCTGGTTTGCCTCGATCGCAGGAGCGATCTTATCCGATTGAGAATCGGCGTGAATCGTGGCACTCAACCACTCTTCACCTCGGAGCACGCACACAGCATCGCTCCCCCGTGACCGCAGTCACCCAAGGACATAAAGTCCGCAGGCTTCGTCAACTAATGACTCCAGTCTCGCGCGCCTGGCTCGCATATGCACCGTCTTGGCGCCAAGTTTTGTGCACACGCACGAGGTTCTCTCGCTGTCTCCAGAACTCACCTACTGGCTCTGTACACTCAGTTATATAGGCGAGGCCAACGTGACCTACTACGTCACGCCACCCCCTCGCTTGTTATAATAGTGAAAAGTTTCTATAGGCCGGATACCCCAAAGCCTTGTGTCTCCCGTTTCCGCGTTCTTCCCTTTACGGAAAAACCCTACTTCCTGTGGCGAGACTAATCCTCTCCCAAGCGTCCCCAAATAGATGCCATGAGGCACGCTGGCTAATACGTTACACTATCTTACCATTATTCTTTAAATGCGGTAGCTCTGTTCGTTCTTTTGTTAAGCTTTTAATTGTTTTCCATAGTGGTCTGGTATTTGGGTGAAGTTGCCTTAGAAATTTATGAAAGTTTGAAAATCTGAATTCGTCTACTTTTTGTTTTACAATTTCTGAAATGTGATTTAGTTCACGTTTATTGTTTGTATTTCTATTGGATTGCCAAATACGTCGGATTTTTCTTTTCTTTTTAATTAGGTCACGATGTTCTTTAGGCAGTATCGTTTTTGACTTTCTGTTTGTCTGGTAGAATGGTATATGAGCGTATTTTAATGACTGTTGCAGTTAGTGAGTTTGTTTAATTCAATATCTATGTCTTCAGTAGAGATCATGTTACATGGGTACGTTAAACTGCTAGTTATGAGGTCACGAAAATGATTCCAGTTAATTTTACCATTGATTTGTTTCGGTATTTTCTCTAAAGAGTGTATCGAAGTTCCCAATGATATGAGAATGGGAGAATGGTCAGAATCTAAATATGGTACTACTTTCTGATAGATCGGTGAGGTTTTACCTTTTGTAATTATTATATCTAGAATGTCTGCTCTCTTGTTTGGATCTGTTGGGTGGAGGGTGGGTTCTATAGAGGTATGAATACTAATGTGATCGCTTGCGTTAATGAGATTAAGCAGT